GACCAGATCAGGTTCGGAGCCAGCAGATGTTCCTGTTTATGTTTTTTCTGAACGAGTCACGGCTCCTCTGTGGATGCCCACTGCGCAGCCGCAGTAGCGCTCAGCGTCACTCTCGGTCGGAGGCAGCAGCTCCGGTACCGTTACCGACTCACGGACCGTCACCCCGGTTCAACCGAACAAAGGCGGCTCCCGGAGGGACGGACATGATGGGAGACGCTCCCCGGCAGCTCTGGAGCAGCAGCCGCGGAGAACACAGCTCGCTGGTCGGCTCCGGACGGAGGCTTTAACGAGACACACCGCCCGCCGTCGCTCCGTTTCCTCCATTTTGGCCCGTGATGGAGCACATCCGGACTCCCAAGGTAACGGCGCTCCGCTCCGCTCCGCCGGCCCGGCTCCGTCCGCGGCTCCGTTAGTCTGTTTATCAGCCGCATGGTGGCTCCTTTTCCCGTCCCGTCTCCGGTACACGGTCTCGGTCTGTCTCCGTCCGACCCCTGCGGGTCCTCCGTGGGGGGGGGTAGTACCCCGGCTAGCAGCAGCCAGAGGCGGGGAAGCTAACACGGTTACCCTGGAGCCAGAGCAGCGGCGCGGCTAACGCTGCGTCCGATAATGGATTCAGCCCCTGATTAGCACAGAACACACCTGTTCTAAGGCCGTGATGCTGCTGGAACACACCTGTCCTGTAGCCGTGATGCTGCTGCTGCTGGAACACACCTGTCCTGTCCTGTGAGGCTGTAACACACCTGTCCTGTCCTGTGAGGCTGTAACACACCTGCTCTAAGGCCGTGATGCTGCTGCTAGAACACACCTGTTCTATGAGGCTGGAACACACCTGTTCTGTAGCTATGATCCTGCTGGAACACACCTATCCTGTAGCCGTGATACTGCTGCTGTTGTAACACACCTGTCCTGTGAGGCTGTAACACACCTGTCCTGTCCTGTCCTGTGAGGCTGTAACACACCTGTCCTGTGAGGCTGTAACACACCTGTCCTGTGAGGCTGTAACACACCTGTCCACTCTCTGTTCAACAGCGTCGACCAAACCATGACTCAGCACTCATTCCTCCATTTTCCTGCTCACATGCTCCTGTTTTCTCCTGAAAACTGCCTCGTCATGGTTTGTTTAGGAACAGAGAACCAGGTATTCTGCTGTGAAGACACCTGAGCTGCTGAACGTGTCCGTTAGGAGCAGGTTTATAACGTAGTCCGTTAGTCTGAGTCGTTTTTAACAGTCTGGATTCTGTGACTGAATACTTTCTGGCGTCTTTCCTCCATCGCAGTGAACTGAACGTTTCACGGCGTCGCCTTCAGCTCTGGGAAGCGCTGGTGGATAGTTTCATCATTATTTTGATATTCTAGAGAGCAAATGACTAATTAGTTAATTAATCCAGACGATAATCGATGATGCTCGTTAGCAATTCACAGATTAACTATTATATTAATCACCAGCTGTTTATTTAATCAGTTCACCGATCTGAGTAGTTTTTTTGAGTTAAAAACAAACTGTATAAGCATCTTCTTCAGTGTGAATATTTTCTGGTTTCTTTCCTCCTCTTGACAAAAACTGAAGATCTTTGATCCAGAAAAAATAATGAATAATGAAAATGATCATTAACTGCAGCCCTTCGTGACACATCTGTTGCATTAATTAGCAGCTGTTTGTTCATTAAATCAGCTCCTTTCAGTCATGTTAGAATAACAGCAGTCTGAATTCAGTGACAGCAGCTTCTTCAGTGTGAATATTCTCTCGTTTCTTTCCTCTGTGATGGTAAACTGAACATCTTTGGACATGTGAGGGAACATTTTTCACTGTTTTCTGACATTTAGAGAAGCTAGCTGACAGCTAAAGTAATCGATGGAAGCAGCGACACTCAGCTCCTCGTTCGCCCTTCTTTCTTTCTAACCCTTTGTTTCCTTTAGAGGCTGTGACGTGAGCCGACGGGCTGCGAGGCGCCGAGTCCCGGCAGAGGAAGCCTCCCGAGCTGCTCTCAGACTGACTCAGTGTGTTTGTGGGTCTCTGGCAGGTGGAGAATGTGCGTCTGCTGGACCGGTCCTTGGGCCAGAGGAAGGCCAGCGTCGGGACGCTCTACCTGTCGGCCACGCACACCATCTTTGTGGAAAACAACCCCGAGACGCGCAAGGAGACCTGGGTAAGGCCGAGCGCTGAGCCTTTAAAGGTCAGACAGGAGACGCTGAAGAGAGGAAATACAAGGAAGTAATCAGTGAACCGCACAAATAAAGCACGTATAGTTTAATTCATGATTTTCGTGACCAGTGATCATGAAATCTGGAATACGAACTGAGTTTAAAGCATTTATTTATGTCGTCTGTGTGTCAATGTTAAGATTACTTTCCGTTATAATTGATTGATGAGTCGATTGTTCTCCGGTTCAAGCTCTGAAATGTCAGAATCACCAGTTTCTCTCATGTTTTTTATATTTATACAGCTGTGAACTAAATATTTTATGGTGTTGGACACGTTCACCGTTTCATGGATCCCCAGATTAACTGCAACGAGTCATCGATCAGTTATCGGCTATTAAAGTAACGGCCACCTAATTAGATGACTGATTAATCAGTATTTTAAATGAAAAGTCTAAATTCTGAGATTGCAGCTTCTTTACTGTGAATATTTTCAGTAAACTGATCGTCTTTGGATCAAACAAGAACATTTTCTGACATTTCAGAGACGTCTAGTCGATCAATCAAACTAAATGATCACCTATATTTCTCTTTTAATATCGTTTTCCATTATAATTTGCTGATTAGTTGATTTTTTTCAGCCATAAATGCAGATGATTCTCTGGTTCTTGCTTCTTAAATGTCAGAATTTACGACATTTTCCTTCATATTCTGATAGTTAAAGTGCTGGTTATTGATCTCTGATGTTCACCGTTAATGTTATGTTCAGTTAGAATTAGTTGATTAGTTGATTTCTCAGCCAAATACTCGATAAACTAAACATCTTACAGACGTGTGGAGCTGCACTGTTCACCGTTTTATCGATCATCGGATTAACTGAGCCTCAGCGACTGATCGATCGGCTGTTAAACCAGTCGGTAGCTTTTTACTAAGAACAGTCTAAGTTCTGTGTTTGCTTCTTAAATGTGGATATTTTCTGGTTTCTTTCCTCTTCTGTGGCAGCAAACGTTCAAGGACGCCGTCTTGGGTTTTAATAAACGCTGACTGACATTTGTCACCGTTTTAGAGGCCAAACATCTGCTCGACTAATCCAGAAAACACCTCGATAGTAGACATAAGCTGAGCGCTGGTGGTGGTGACGCAGCAGGGCAGAGTTCAGTGAAACCTCTCTGAGGCTGTGGAGGAGGATGCTTCCCTTCCCCCTCTCCTATCTGCTGCAGGACGATGAAGCTGGTCCCTCGGCGATAGGCTCATCCCGGGCGTCAAGTTTCAGTCGGCGTTGACTGGATGAGCAGGAACAGAGAAACCAGCCGAGGCGTTTAAAAACAAGCTAAAGCAACCGTCCACTTCTTCTTTAACATCCTGTGAGAAAAGCCCAGGAGCTTCCCCATGAAGTGCTGCTGACGCTGCTTCCTGAATCTTCTAGATCACGAGACGGATTTCACAACAGCTTCTAGACTCAGCTGCTGTGAAATCCCGTGTTCGTGGAGGCGTGGCCGTCGGCAGGTGGAGCATGAAGCAGGAAAACGTCTTCTGTTGATGTTCACCTGCAGCTTTGGGAAACACTGACGGATGCTTTTCATTGTTTTCTGACCAAACAAGTCGTCGATTTATCCAGAAAACAATCAACAGATTAATCAACAACAAAACCTGACACTAAGAAATCCTCGTCACCAGCAGAGCTGCAGCAGTTCACAGTTCAATCCATTAGTCGACAGCTCCTTTGATATCAGTTGATCAGTTTGAGTCATTTTTAAACAAAAACTGTAAATTCTGAGTTTGCAGCTTCTTCACTGTGAATGCTTTCTGGTTTCTTTCCTCCTCTGTGACGGTAAAATGAAGATCTTTGGACAAAACCAGACGTTGGAGGACGTCGTCGTTATCTTTGGCAAACACTAGTTGATGTTTTTTACTGTTTTCTGACATTTTTAAGACCAAACAAAGCAACGAAATTGGTCAGTTAAGCCCTTCTATTCTATTCTATTCTATTCTATTCTATTCGTTGGCGTTGCAGGTGCTGCACAGCATGGTGAGCAGTGTGGACCGGCCGCCCGCCACGCCCGGCGGCAGCCAGCTCGTCCTGCGCTGCAAAGACTTCCGGGTCTACCAGGTCCTCATCCCGCAGGAGAGGGACTGCGCGGACGTCCACGCCTCGCTGGTCCGGCTGTCACGACCAGGTGAGTGTCTGTGTGTTCGAGTGGCTGAAAACTTCTCCCAGCAAGAAGAGGCTTCACGAGTCCACAGGTGTTTAGAGTCTCAAGTCATTTTCCAGTGTCATGAAGGAGGCTCATTTAACCTGCTGGATCTCCATGGTAACTGAAGCTGCGGAGCCAGGTCTCCATGGTAACTGATGCTGTGGAGCTAGATCTCCATGGTAACTGATGCTGAGGAGCTAGATCTCCATGGTAACTGATGCTGTGGAGCTAGATCTCCATGGTAACTGATGCTGCGGAGCTAGATCTCCATGGTAACTGATGCTGCGGAGCCAGGTCTCCATGGTAACTGATGCTGCGGAGCCAGGTCTCCATGGTAACTGATGCTGGGGAGCTATTTTTTAAAAAATGTTGTAAAGTTTGTTCCTGATTTACTGCTCAGTTTGTTTTTTTCTCTGCTGGTACTGCAGCTGATAAAAGACAGATTAGAAAACCCATCAGTCTATTAGTATTCAATATAGAGAATATTAAATCAATAATCATTTATGACACTTTGATTTGCCTAAATACTGAAGTGATTTCCATGAATCCTTCATTATGAGACAGTGTCAGACCTAAACGGGGATATTTAAGTTTCAGAGCTCTAAC